GGCTTCTCGTGCACCTCCAGCCTTCTCAGTCGGCAGAGCATGGGAAGCTGGAAAGTCCTTGACTAGTGTAAGCACTGCTCAGCAACAACTAAAACATGGGTGTGTTATCAAAACTGTTCTCATCCTAAATCCAAAATACAGCACTGTACCAGCTACTAGGAAGGAAATTAACTCTCTCCCAGCCAAAACCAGGACACTAGTGAAGATGGCCTGCAGTGTGTGTTGCCTTTAGTTTTTATAATTAACCACGCAAGATGGTTAAAAATTCAGGTGTGTGTCCCCCAGCTTGGAAGTCTGGTCAGCAGCACAAAGGAGCTGTTGGGATTGGAGTCATGCAGGCATTTGAAGGTTAGGGGCCTCTCCTCTGCTTTTTGTTTTTTGGGTTGCTTATTGTGGGGTTTTTTTAGTATTTGCAAGGTAAGCATGCCATGTATGTTCTCTTGCAAGCCGTGGTAGTGAACTTGCTTGTCACGGGTACATGGTCAGATGGTGGATGCACAGTCTAAACTTGTATCCAGGAATTATAGAGCAAAGAGAGCAATTTTTTCTGTACAGTCCTTCTGATGCTACAGGGAAACTCTTTGTTTCTAAAGAGCCTTTAAGGGTGAAGCCAAAACGTGGCCTGAGTTTTAAACTGCCTACCTTTCCCTGAAAAATTTGTCCCTGAGGATAGCTTGAAGAAGGCACCTGTGTGCACTTAATTTGAATGGGCTTGGGGTTTTTTATACAGCTGCAAAGCTTGAATAACACGTGGTCTCCTCAGTAAGGTCTAACACAATTATGCCGAAGATCACGGTGGGGCTGGTCAAAAGCCCTCCAAAATATTCTGGATCTCTGGAGCCACTAGGTTTGCTGTCTCCGCACAGGTTGTGAAGTTTGCAGGAAGCAAGAGCAATCCTGATGGTGTTTTCTGTGCTGGCATCAAGCCAATCCTGCAGGCAGTGCCTGCAGACCCGGTGCAGCCGTAAGGCGTGCTCAGCAGCCACCCAGGAGCAGCTGAGGACCTGGCTGAACCACCCTCCGTGGCTGTGGTTGCCAGGGACCTACTGCACCCTACACAACTGGTACCCCATTGGGAAATGTCTTGTGTTAGGAAGTGGGTGCGTCCTGATCCCAGAAGAGGTTTACCAGAGTCCCGCAACCTGCTGAAAGGTCTTTCTCTGGCTCTTTCCCAAACTTCTTCCTTTCAGCTTGTCACACTGCCCTGACTCGGCAAGAGGGGTGCAAAAGGAGGCAGGGCTGCCTGGTGTAGTTGTGTGGTACACCCAGGTGGGATCCAAAACAGGTGCAGGGACGGTCTTGCCAAAAATGCTGCAAAGGCTTGTGGACCGGTCGACCTGTAGTGTGAATGCACTTGATGAGACGTGTGGGTATCCTGAGCGTACAGCACCGTGGGGCATGGCCAAGAGAAGGGTAGCCATTTCTACCAATGAGGAGAGTGAGCCCCAAGGTCAGAGGGACCTCGAGACAGTGGCATTAAGTGTGGAGTAGTAGCTGGATGGCTAATTGCATGTGAGATGCAGACACAGCCTAACAGGTAAGTCACAAGACAACGCTTAAGCTTCAGGCCAAATTCAGTAGCCAGCATTTTGTCAATGCACACCTAAGTACTTAAGACAAACTCCATTCAACAAGCACACCACCGCTTTCTAGTTTCAGTCTCCAAGCTGATGCAAACAGAAGTTGCGTGTACAATATGATGCAGTTTCTAATATTAATCTTTAAAAAGTATTGATCATATAAATCTCTCCATTCTGAAGGGAAATTAATATAATTGTTTGTACAGACATGAGGAAAGTCATCTGAGAAGTGCTGCTGCATGATCAGTCAAAAATAGTGAAACCAAATATTAAGAATTTGAGCAACAGAAAGTAGAAAAATATCTCAGCCAGCAGGCTCATACAATCCAAGCACAACTTTCTAGTCGCCTCCCTTACCTTATTGGCATCTGACTTGGCAATCCTGCACAGACTTAAGACTGTCTCTGTCAGGCGTGGGATAAGAAATTTCAAAGCACTGACTGAGATTATACGAAACAAGGTGGCTATAATGACCATCCTGAAAATCCTTTCTCTCTGTTATCTCTTCTACACAATGAACAAGAGAAGCGAAAGGTTGCGGAGCTCCACAGGGATGCGCTCAGCCAGAAGAGTAAACAGTACTAAAAAATTACCTTCTGGGATCTCCCCGAGAGAGAGGAATAGAGGTGAAAGCCAGCCATACAAACTGCTGTAGGGTTTGCAACCGCATCAGCAGCTGTGAAACTGAAAACAGCCAACAGGTCTGTCTGCGTTAGTGGAAGCACCTTCCCTGCTCTCCTAGCCAGGAGATCATCTGCTACCGCAACCAGTATCGTGCATGCATACGCTCAGGTATAAACCCAGGCTGACAACAATCAGGAAGACCCAAAATACCTAGGTAATGGGAACCTTTCCTAGAGACACCGTGAATGAGTTAGCCGGGTTGCCTTTTGTGCAGTCTTGGCACCACGAAGGACGCCAGGAAAGCAGCGTTTTTAGTCTTGTTAGCGTGCTGCCTTCCACTGCTAATTATAAGGACTGGTAACACACTCCAAACTCTTTTTTTTTTGACAAACTGCTAGTGTTGGAAAAAAGATTGTAATTCATTTAGCAATAACAGTCAACAAGCTTTTCATTACTGATTGGGAAATAAATAAATAAATAAATAAAATTTATGCTTAAACATGAAAAGTCCAAAGATGTTAGGTGTTGGTAAAAACAAATCGTAAGAGACAAATTTGTGTTCCATACAGAAATAGGTTTATTGACAATCTTGAGGAAAACAATATATTACCTAGTTCTGCCAGGTATGCCATCACCTGATTATCATAATGGCAAACATTTGTAATAAAAAAATCAGTTAATAAGCAAGCCACTATTTTATACACTAACTTAAAATTTTACAGGCTAACTTCAATCTCGGAGCTGATTTAAGAAGTACCTTCATGTAGAACATATGTTTTTCTTTTTTTTTGCATGTCTGTTAAGGCTGGTGTAATTAAAGGGTTAATTAGAATCTTAAATGCTTAGTTCGCATGTTGCGAGATACATCTCACTCTATAAACATAACTTTGTGACATGGGAAAAAGTGGGGTTTTTTCATTATAACTGCCCGTCTTGTGTATTGGCAGCATGAGAGTCCAAATGAGAGACTGTAAACATCTTTAAATAATCAGTTTCCAGTTTTATTATTTATAATAATTGAACTCTCTTGCTTTCTTGATGTTCATATTGCCACAACGTTCCTGAAGCTGTACTTACTGTGTCAGCTACCTCTACACGATGGCTATAAAGGTTGTACGGAGCTGCACACAATAAAACCAAAACAATCGCAGTGAAATAAAATTGTGTGGCTTTTAGCCCACCAAAGCAACACCAACAGCACCCACCTTTGCTTCAGAGGGAGTAAACTGTGATCAAGCGATCCCGAATTTCACTTTTTTTTTTAATGCTTCACGGCTCACATTGACTTTAACCTTTGTTCTTTGAGGGGCCTTCCATTTTGTTTTCTTTTCTGGTTATTAATTTTTATGGGACGCTTAATGCCCACGGCAACGCGACGCGGGTTTTCAAACGTCCCCGCTGCGTGCGGTACGCTACAGCTGAGTGCGGCCCATTGTCCAGCAATGACCACTGCCACCCCGTTTCTTCTCATCCACAGAAAGAGTTATTCTGAGACTTTTTTGAGGACCTTACACGTATCACCAGGGTGAGTAAGTCTCCCACTGTACAGGCAAGAAGCCCCAGGCTGCCAACTCGCCGGGCCACCACCGCAGCGACTCAGCGGGAGAGGCGCGCCTCGGGCCTGCCGCCTTAAGCCTTCCAGGGCAGAGGGACGGCCCCCCCGCCGCTGAGGCGCCGACCGCAGAGAAACCGAGCCCCGCAGCGCCGGCCCCGCGGTGAGGGAGGGCGGCGGGCTGCCCCCCGCCCAAATGG